AATAAGATAGCCTGAATACACACAGAGGATTGGATTCCTGTATTTTAAGACTTCTCCAGTTCAACTTCACATTTAGATGATATTGATATTTTCATTTTCTGATAAGGAGCAGCAAATTTGGATCAAAAAGTTTTTGAAATACCAGGTGTTGGGTGTAAGTGTGTGGGGTGTTAGAACTAATGGAGCAAGAGGTTGAAAGGCTAGTCTAACTGCTTTAATGGTGACTGATCTGGTCACATTTGAGGCTTCTTAGGCACAAACATGACATTACAAAACTACATTAAGTTATAGTTATGAAAACTAACCTTAATAAGGGTCAGTAAGGAATTTGACAGGATTTGGACATGCTCAGTGAGAAATCTAAATTTAACAGTCATTTGGTTTGAAGTGATTTTGGTTGGAGTCCAGGAGATTTGTTAATTCAATTCAGTTCTATTTTATTTATACAGCGCCAAATCACAACAACAGTCGCCTCCAGGCGCTTTATATTGTAAGGTAGACCCTACAATAACACATACAGAGAAAAACCCAACAATCATATGACTCCCTATGAGCAAGCACTTTGGTGACAGTGGGAAGGAAAAACTCCCTTTTAACAGGAAGAAACCTCCGGCAGAACCAGGCTCAGGGAGGGGCGGGGCCATCTGCTGTGACTGGTTGGGGAGAGTGAAGGAAGATGGGATAAAAAACAAAGTTAAGAAGTCTGATGTGAGGTGACCTTACAAGGTTATACTACAGGACTTCCAGGTTCATAGCAAACTGTAGAATAGTGCCTTTAAGTGCTTCTTTCCAACCAACATGATTCTCTTGCAGACAACAACAGTCTGATGAACCAAACAGATAGACAAACCAATCTCTAGTTGAATATCTTATAACAAGGTAGTTGCTACTTCCCTAAATGCATGGCGTCTGATTATAAAAACAAAGGTTAATGATTTCAATGATTTTAGCCATGACCCTGGTGGCTACAAACTGTCAACAAAAGACACAAGGAAAAAGAAGCAGGTATGATTGGTTTGTGAAAGCAGTGTGTGTGTTGTGGCGTTTTTTAAAGGCTTTATATTGAGTTTAGATTTTAAATTTTCTACTTTTTTGGATTGAGAATGATAAAAAAAATAAGGGGGATTGGTACCCACTAACAAATTTCGGTTATATCAACACCCCTAGCACATAACATAGAGACTTACAACTGACCAAACAGCTGTAACAATTTTTATCATTACTGCTAGAATTTTGCAGGCATATTCGCTAGCTAGGTATTAACTAATAATGTAAAGATTCCAACTATGGGGACCAAAAACTGTATGTTACAATAAAATTAGATAGGTAATGATTTTTAGTTTTTTGAACCACACCAGCAGACCATACCTGAGAAGTTTTTTTTTCCTCTTAAGTGTAAATGAGATATATACACGGTAGAAAATTGTGTCTATATTGATAAAAGTATCATTTAAAATTAAAACTGTTTACATTTCAGATCTATCCAGGTATGTGTATCCCTGGATAAGTAGCAGGTTTGTAACCCAGGGACTTCTTTGATTGTGCAATTTTTGAGCAGAGATGAAGTGGTGCTTGTGGATATCATCGATTAAACTATTTTTATAGAGGAGAACACAGCAGTGAATAAACCTTGGTCTGCCCATGAATTAAGAAACAATTAAACATATATAAAGATATGAAGAGTTAATTTTACATATCGTGACCTGTATATATTTTTTCTTGTGTCATCGGGTCACATTAAAATGCACTTCTCTCTTTATGGTCACACGTTCTTGATTGTCATTGCGTATGTACACTTGAAGTTAAATGTCAGACTGTTTATTGCCACGAAGGGAGAGAAACTGTCAAGTTCCTACTTTGTGGCAGTGAAAAGGTGTATATGTTTGATTTTTGCATGCTATTATTGTGTAACAGGTTTTAAAAGGTATAATGCATATTACTAAATCAGAATATTATGGCTGGAAACTGTTTTGATACCAGTTCTGGTATTAGAATGACACCAGCAGCTATGAAATCAATTTTGTTTAGCCTCCATTAATGGTGCTAGGCACTTATTGCTATAGTTTTCCTTTAATGCGTCTCTTTCGATCACCTGTCAGTATTAGTCAAACTGTGACGAGTTCTTTATCAAAGCAAATGGAAATGTTTTCGTGTTGGCCGTGGTCTGTCGTGCTCGTAACCACATCAGTCTGTGAAATAGTGTTGCACAGTAGTAAACTGTCCATCGCTGCATTGCACAGGTCGCGGACGGAGTGCGCCACAATCGTCACATGACAGCGCGAGGAGGAGTGAAAGCAAAATGTAGGCGCCCGTTCCTCCGCCACGTTATCTGGTTGTCGTCTTTTTTGTATTTTTTGCACACTGAATAGATTGAGTCTATAATTGCAATATATTTATTTTATATATATATATCTTCTAAAAATGAAGTGTTAGCTATATTGGTAAATTTTGTAGCAAGAATTTAAAATATGAAATCAATTTACACAGGTTATATGTGCACAAAGACCACTGCTCTGTGGAGTTTAGGTTTAAAGCATAGCATTTGCACACACGTAACTCCACATTTGAGGTGGAGATGCTGTGACTGTCTTCACCCTGTTACTAAGGCAGGTGGACATGTGGGATTTGTAAATATGGTCAAGTTGCTCATGAGATTGATGCATAGTAGCACTGATTTTTAATATATATATATATATATTTATCTTCAGTTGGTGGCATCTTCATTGAGCTGACCACTTAATAGGATTTGTACTTCAGCAAAGTCATGCCTCTTTGTAATGAGCATTTGCACAATTCGGTCTTTTTCTGTCTCTTCGTGTATCTTAATGTTTTATCACTGTGCAAACAAAAACAAAATAGAGATGGTGAAATGATCCCTGCAGGGGATCATGAAGTGTCATCATGATCTGCTACCTAATGATACAACCATTACCATGTTGTATCTGCTGCTGTATATGAATAGAAATATACACAGTGGCTACAGAAATTTAACAAATATTCACATATGTTACAAATACACAGATGTTAATTATCAAAGATAGGCTCTTTAACCAGCCTGCTGAGGTTTATAACTAAATAAAAGAAACAAATGATTGCCATTTAGCGTTTGACCTTTAGAACTGTGTAGTCCTTGAATTTGTATGTGCGAATCATATTAAGGAGGTTTAGTACCAGTAATATCTGTTTTTTCCCTTCAGGAACCTCCAAATGTTTGTTGGCATTTATGCTAGATACCACAGATTTGTGGCATGAAAGTGAAAATCGGTCTACCGTAATTAGTTTATGGGAAAGTAACAGCAGAAACAGTTATGTTGAGGTATTAGTTATGTAGGGCAAGAAAGATGGTGTGGCATGTGTTCAGGTACAGTATTATGATGGAGGTTAGTAAGTATGTCAGTTGGAGGTGGAATGTGGGGATGGATTAGGTGGAAGGAGGCTGGTGAGATATTTGTATTCACCCAATCTCTTGGCTGTTGCCCTTTCTTTCATGCCGTAACCTGATGAGATCTAGCAGGTCACGTGATGTGGAACTACTTAGTATAGAATATATATCTGTTTTCTTTCTCATGATGAGCTGTGCATTTGATCCGATGCCTCTGTCTCTGGCTCACATGCATTATCGTATTTGTTAAAATTATGTTTCTGTATCTTTCATTTTTATCTTTTCATTGTGTCTGTATACACTTGTTCTTTTTTTGTATCTGATCTAAAGGATTTAGCTGCATTAGTTGTACGACTACTGCTGTGAGAAAATACTGTTATTGTAACTGTTTATTTACTGTATTGATTATGCAATAACATTCAGCTTGTTGTCTTGAATCAGAATCAGCTTGTGCGTCCTTTGAGGAGTTATAGAAGAAAAGTGGTATTAAACTTCTCCTTTTTTTTTTTTTTTTTAAAATGTAAACCCCAATTTTACCAACTTCAGAACTGTACTGTTCATGTATGCACTTTCAGATCCCAAATAAAAGATTATAGCTTCACGGGTTGTTTGGAGTATTATTTAATGCCATCATTTCAGCACCTTGTTGGATCTCTCTAAATGGCGTCACAAAACAGCAGCTAATGTAGGCAAGGTCACCGATATTAATGGATCTGTAACGGCTTACAGATTATTAGCCATTAGACTGCTGTCATACAAGCTAGAGTACTTTATCATTTTATCTTATTTATATTCTGGTCAAAGTGGACTTTATTATTATATTTGTTTATTTTTTGTTGTTTGTTTTTGTTAACAGTACAGATCCAGTGAGAGCACGTCAAAAGCATGTTACAGTACGTGTCAACATCCAGCAGCAGCCCATATTCAGTTTCAACACTGTTATCATTTGAATTAAGATTTTTAAAGGTGAAAGGGGTTTGTAAGGCACTGTATGTATGACATTATGCATACAAACGCTTTTGGTCCCTGTGAATTACATAATCATGTGTCAATGAGTCACACCATGAACGCCAATTATTGACAGAGACAATGAGCAACCGTCTTACTTATCTGCTCTTGAACTCTCTTCACCTTTTAGCTTCTTAGTAAGTTCCAATGCAGTACAGATTCAGTGGTGTGCCTTACTCTTCAACGCAAACGTTAGCCACCCTTTGATCTCAGTAAGAGCAAAAATAGCAGACTTTCTCGTTTATAGCCACAGAGATGCTAACGGTTAGCTTCAAAACTGTGTTCGTGCAATTGGTGAGAATTTAAAAAGGCAAACAGTGGATCTGCCCATAAACAGTTCATAGAAGTTTACACATTACCAATTAATAACATCAAAATCCACAATCGAAGATGGCGCAAGATGCCGCCTTTCATCTTTAGCTGTTTCTGCAAAGAAAAGAAGAAAAAAAAAACGTCAACGCTTGCTCTGCGTTTCTTTTTTAAATTTTAGTTTAGTGGCTAACTAGTTAGAGCTGGATTTTTTTTAAAGTAAATACTAATATATATTAAATCCTATCAAACTGTCAGCATTTTCAGATCATTATTTTGTTACTCCCTTATACTCCGGAGCCAGAAACGTTGATGTCCGAGGATTACTGAAGGCAGCATTCACACCTGTAGTCAATCAGCTGATTGGGCGGTTCCAGTGAGGAGCATCTTCGATATTCTCCGTCCTACTTTCTCAGATTTGTGTGGATTCCTTTGCAGATGCCAACATGAAGCTCTCGGGAATCCTGGCTGTGCTTTTGCTCGTCTATACTGAACGGAGCGGTTTCGGGATGTGTCATCCCAAACCGGCCTGTCGCTACCCTCCCTCCCAGTGGTGTAGGTCCCTGGAAATAGCGATAGAGTGCAGGGTAAGTCTGACCACACTGGGGGTCATCTATGCTCCTACTAGTAATTTTGTTTAGTATAGGCTAGGCACAAGTAAGCACAGCTGAACGAGATTTAAGAAGTTTATTCCATTTTTATACGTTATTCGTGTGCTTTTACTCAGTAGAATGTAAAATGGTCCTCTCAGTATGAAAGCGTCTTCTTAATGTAAACACTTTAAAGCAAAGGACTAGCAGGAAAACAAGAGGAAATGTTTAATATTGCTACTGTGCACCCAAATGGTATCATTCATCACTGTCGTACTTATAGAGGACAGTTTTTGTGGAGTTGAAAGTTTCCCTGGTCTGGACATTAATAAGAGTCATGCCTCAGAAATTCAACACCAGAGGTTGTTCATGTGACTGACAGAGCAGCTTGAGGTCAAATCATGCAAACACCTAATCAGTTTAGAGAAAACAGAGTCTGGAGGAGGAGATGAATGTGCAGTGTTGCTTCCTTAGACCATTTTGAGCTTTGTCTTTTATTAATTTTAATCATTGTCCTTCCTCTTTATTATTTCAATAATGTAGAAAATGCTCAGAGCACCAAAGAGCTAATCTTTTCAGTTTTCCAATGATTGTGTTTTAAACGTTGCAAAATAGTTCAAGTCACATTTGTTACTTTTTAAAAATTAATCCTTGTGCATGTCATGGAAATGTTCTTCAGCACTGAACTTGTATGTGAGCGTGTTTGATGAGCTTCAGAAAAGTGTTTTCTGTAAATGTAAATCATGTAAGCAGTTATGAAAAACACTTTATTTGTCTTAATTCTTACTGAAATGAGATGACATCAACTCTGTTTTGTAGGTGGAGAAACAGTGTATGGAGGTTAATGCTACCAGGCCAAACCAGGCTGTCCCTGGAGTATCTGTCACACTATACTATGAGAGTCTGTGTCCAGACTGCAGAGAATTTATCACTCAGCAGCTTTTCCCTACCTGGACAATGCTGCAGGACATCATGGCTGTCACACTGGTGCCCTATGGGAATGCTAAGGTCCATCAGTCCTTCCTCTGTTGATGCATGCAGCATTCAAAAACAAAAACAAATGTTTCACCTGAATAAACCTGGGCTTTGTTTCTCTTGTAGGAGCGTCGCTCAGCAAACTCTCCCTTCACCTGTCAGCACGGAGAGCCTGAATGCAGAGGAAACATGATCGAGGTTTGAACAGCTTAAACTTTGCATGTGTGTGTGTTTTTTGTTTTTTTTTTTTTTTCCTGCTGGGTCTTCTAGACTGACTGATCTCTTCCTCAGGCCTGCATCCTCCATTTAACCGAACACTCTCTTGCATTTCACATCATCTACTGCATGGAGTCATCTGCAGATGTTCTGAGCGCTGCACAGTCTGTGAGTAACTTCAGGAAAAAAATGTTTATTTAATATAAGGGTCGTTTTCATTTCCAGTGATCACAACTGTTACTGTGATAGCTGAGCTCATGGTCCTGAGGAGCCAGCACAGGCCATCAAGAAAATAACCCCCCCTGCTAACCTGATTCACGTCCTCGGGAAAACTTGTATCTTGATGAGTCTCAATCCCTGGTTTCAAGTCTAATTGTATACAGTGTGATGTTTACTCTGATGCTGATTAAATAAAAACAACAAATGAAAGGAGAAAAGGACGGCCTACTCTGTAACTGAGGATTGCAACAGCCCCTGACATCAAAAAGCAAAAATGGCAATCACAAATGCTCGGCTCAAATTCTGAACGGACCGATAGGGGACATCACATTCGCTATGTCATTGCCCTTCTGCTTTTTCTGTTTCGGATTTCTTTTTCTTTTCTCAGTGTCTCCGGCTGTATGCTCCCTCTGTGCCCTGGTCCAGAGTTGACTCGTGTGTCAAAGGAGATCTGGGATACCAGCTGATGCGTGCCAACGCTCTTATGACCAGAGCCCTGAACCCTGCACACACACATGTGCCCTGGATCACCTTCAATAGGGTAAAACGCAAGCTGAGATTTGTTTAACATACTGAGAGGTCTATCTGCTTCTCATTTTAAAAAGCTAGAATTTGAAATTAATTCTGAGCTGCAGAGAATATGAACTAACTCATGTTTTCAGACAAGGCTTGTGCATCTTTCTGCACATCTAGTTTCTACAGTTGTTCAGAATACACCAAATCTGTAAGAGCTGAAGTGAAAAGATCTTAATTTTTTTTTCTTTTAAAAGTACAAAAATCATGTAGTCCCTATCAGCTGCTTAAACTCATAACTGATATGACAAAGCTGAAATTATTACTGTGGACAGAGTTGTAAGTTTAAAATTCATAATTTGGGTTCAAAGTTTAAAAAGGAAAATTTAGATAATCAAATATTCCAAGCAAATTTAATACCTTTGGTGGGGTTTACAGAAGGAAATGCTGGGACTAAGTGCTGTCCTTATTACAGGAATACACAGAAGAGAATGAAGACAAAGCAATGTCGTCCCTTTTCCAACTGGTTTGTCATCTCTACAAGGTGAGTAGATGTATTTGTGAATGAAGTGCTTTGATTCAAACACAACTCTAGCGTCTGACTTTTTGTGCATGTTTCTGCTTCTACAGGGGGTGAAACCTCCAGCCTGCACTGGAGCTCCGGTCCGGCTCGACAGAAGCTTCTGCTGAACATGAAAAATAAAGTTATATGTCAGTCCTACAGGCAAACAGCCAAATGTGACACGTTAAATTAGCCATACTAATGTTTAGTTTGTTTCAGTGTTGTCGTTAATACTATGAAAACGTAAGCATATAGAGTATTATAACTTTCTTGTGTAACAGAGCAGATGACTAAGTTGTCTTTTAATTCAAATATGGTTTATAATAACAAATGCAGCCAAACACAGGATAAAAATTTCCATATAATTTATTGGCATTTTCCACTTAACACCCTGAACTCCCGAGACTCTTTTGGCTTAAAATGCGAAACAAAAATAGATTTAATTTCTCTGACAAAAACATCGGAGTGGCAGGTGGATACATACTTGTGAAGTATACTTGATTTTTAGGCTCCAGAACATAAAATCAGACATCCTATGTTACAGTACTTTGTATCGACAGACACATCTGAAGAATAAATATCTCTATAGAAGTTTGCACGACACAGAGGCTGAAAGAACAAGACTGCATGGACGTGGGTGGAGGCGGTGTCAGTGCAACACGGTCTCTGTGTAGAAGCGGGAACGCTCCCGCTCACCGACACAGATGGCGCTGTATGGCACTGACGTCTTCCTGCAAAGAGCCACGGTGCTGAGTTTAACCTGCTGTAACTCCTCAGACTGTTCAGTGCTGAGCAAATTACACCTGCTGTCAGAAAACTGTTGCTGTATATCTACTAAAACTATCACACAGGATAAAAATATGAGCTTTTAATTTGTTCATTTTTGTGTTATAATAAGAGAAAATAATGACTAACTGGAAACACATTGTTTGTTGTGCCACATCTGAGAAAAATCAGTTTAATCTCAGAAGCCAAATTTTTGAATGTATTTTTACATTTTTGGACAATTATTCCTTAATAAAATGTAGTACAAATATAATAAACTTCTTTTGGGGGTAAAACCATTGTTTTTGCTCTTTGTTTGTGCTCTTTGATAATGTAGCCATGTGAACATTGCTACACTATGCAAAAATGTAACTAAAATAGGTTTTCTCCTCATAGAAAGCTGTTTGACTGGATCAAAACCAAAGGATCTTGACGAATGGCTGACAAACCAACTTTTGACACGATACATGTTTTTTGATGATGTAACAAAGAAAACAGACGTTTAAATGCAGTGTTTTGAAAATGTTTACTCTTCCGGGTGATGCTCAAAGGCTTTGAGGTTCACTGGCTTACATTCAGCCTGTTACACTCTAGATAATTAATAAAACTAGCCAAATGCAGACACTTTTGTCATACGAAGGCATCTGTGGTCAGCTGGATACTGATATCTAAATCTGCTAATGAGTAAAAATTACTGTAAAAACTGAACTGCTCTGATTGCAATGTGAACGGTTTAATAGGAGACACTTTTAATATGACATATCTACTCACAATTATTTTATTAGACCTCTAAACTGTCTTTAAATCTGGAGCCTTTGAAAAAAATCTTCTTTTGTACACTTTGTAAACGTTCTCAAAAAAATGTAAGTCTGGCAACAGTTTTCCCACTTTCCTCTTTCTCCACGGAAAAGTGAATGGAACAACAGTCTGAGGATCAGCATTTCGAAATCATCACAGTGGTCCTTTAGCACAAGGCTCAAAACGTTTATAAACCACGTAAGGCTGATCAATAAAGCTTGCTAGCTGAAATAATGAAATACTGTTGGACTAGTGTTTTCTACTACTGCCTGACTGGGAAGTGCATCGTATGTTGCGTAGTGCTTGCTTACTTCCCGGTCTTTCTACCTCAGTGACGGCGACAAACACTGTTCTAGGCTGAATGTGTACTTGGTACAGAAAGACAAAGTCATGAAACACCTGAAACTACACACATCCTCGAGTCTCAGCTATCTGATTAGGAAAGAACTGAACAGACGGATCCAAAGCTGCACAAAATCTATTAAATCGTTTGCCTTAAATACTGTTAACATGTATCATTTGTAAAAACTAACACTATAAAGTTAATGACTTTGATACAATCATCAGGTTAAAATCTCTAGTGTAAAAATGTACAGCATTGTAGGCTGGCAGGTGTTTGTGTGTTGTCAACACTTGTGGCACACATTTATCCCAGTCGAGCACTATCTACCAAATAAGAGCTGATGGAGCACAGTCTGTTTAGGATGAACTACAGGTGACTTGTTTCTGCCACCTGAGCTCTCTCTGATCTCTACATCGGTATCTGTCGGCAGGGTAGGAAAACACACCGCTGGGATTTTAGAATTCAAAGATCCTTGTTGGGTTTTTTATGGAAAATAAAACAATTTAGAAGCAGCATCTTTAGTTCAGATGTGTTAACATGTTTTACTTTTGACTGAGGTTTGAAGGTTTGTGTGTCGAAACAACATTTTACCATTAAAGGATAAGGCTGGCATTTTTTACATTTTCTAAAATACCTACAAAAACAAAATCAACAGCAAGGGCCTCTTTTATAAAGTGCTCTGAGCTCAAGTATGATTTAATCAAACAGGTGTCAAAGCCTGTGATGAACTATGCTGCTGGTTTGTCTTCCCCGCTCTGTTCAGATCAGATGGTTGATGGCTCAGGTGCCCTCAACATCTAGACTTATAGTATGGCTGAAGCTTTTAAATTTCCATCTATCAGCCATTATAAATGCACACACTGATAGTTTGTCAAACATCCAAGTGGCTTCCTTGGAGGGAAGTTAACAGGATGCTCGCAGAGTTTTGGGAATTCTATCTGATCTGAAAGACATGATGAATACACGTGTTACAGAAGTAATATAGTAGATTACTTGTTACTTTTACAAGAAACAAGCAGTAAATCTTAAATTTCCCTGGACATAAGCACAGATCTCCTCAATAATCTCTCTAATCTCTTATAAGCACTTTAATAAAATATAACCACAAAAACAACTACACAAATGTTGGTTTTAAAAACAAAACAAAACATTTAAATGAGCATAGAAGTTCACAGAGCTTCAAAACAGTAGTAGCTGTAGCTGCTGATTTTAATTGTAGCAGTACAGACAGAAATAATGTGACTGCATGAATAGTGTTTCCCAACAAACATGTGGGAGCCTTTAAAAAATGAACAGGTTCTTTATTGGACACATTTTCATCAGGATGGTAGAAATAGGATTGAATGAAAACAGACTAAATTATAATTAGGGAGCATGTGCATCTATGGAACATCTATAGAACAGATGCCACACAATACTTTGTTATAGCAGTGGTTCATTGTTTGCTGATTATTTAAAAAAGAAGGTTTTTGCCAGCATTATTCTTTTATAAGAACAAATATTCAGAATCGGATTCAGTTTGGGTCTGAGGTGGGAGGCTGAGTTTTATATTTCACCTACAGTTGTTGGAGTTTGCACACCTTTGGACGGTCTCAAAACAAACAGATGCAGTCCTAGAATTCCAATATTATCTGACCGGTAGATGAATAGGAACTTTATTATTGTTGCACGCCATCAAATCCTTTGTTGAGACGCTAGTTTGTGAAAGCTGGTTAGTTTCCCGCCCTGCCTTCTGGTACCTTTAGTCAAATGCTTTGTACTGTGTTTTTGTGATCAGCAGGCCTACAGTGGGTGAAGCCCTTTTTTTGTGACTGAACAGAAGAGCTGAAATGGCCGAGACAGTAAAGTGCTACTGCGGACTGGAGGCACCCTGATTTAAAAAACCGAACAAAACAAATGCTTTTTAAGCACTTAACCACAGACGAGATCAGCTAATGTACAACAAGGAACAGGTTGAAAATCAAAACAGAACAATGACATCATTAAAAGTCACTACAGGTACAAAATAAAATAAAGCTTAAACTAATTATACAGGTGGTGTCTTATAGTATCAACAGGTGAGACTGGGGTAAAGTCTTCTTCAGTGTTCAGTTTCTGTGGTGCTACAAGCTGGTTTAAGTATGCAAGTTGCCAAATTGTATATTAAAGGGTTTTGATTAAATGTAGAGACACACCATGGGTTAAAGTCTCATTTGTCCAGCTTGGAGGTAAATCAAACTGGAAAGACTGTTTGGGGTGGTGGTCAGGTTAGGGGGTACCCAGTACATCTGTGCTACATTAGATTTATGTTTCTCTTCATACCCTGAGGTTAAGGTCCACCGATTTTTCTCATTTACATCCCGTATTTGGTAAAATGATTCATCTCTCACATCATTCTTAAAGAAATCAGACTCACTTAATCCAACGAGGACTCAATAATTTTATACCTTAAACTGAAATTATGGTGCAAAATAATTTCCAAGACCCTGTCACACCACTGCGGTCCTCATTCGCTGCTCGCGTTCAAATGTCACAGTTATTTTGAAGGAAGACATTTCCTTTACCTTGTTACCTCTTGTTAGAGAACAGGCCTCAGCTTCATTCTTCTTCCCAGAATAAACGCAGCAGTTTCGTTTTCTTTGTTTCTGTCTGGGACTCTCCAAACTGAAGCTATAACAAACCAGGATGGCCTATCAGGCACCCAAAGATAGGCAAAAACTATTCTCCCTGCTGAAAAACGAAACCTAAAACAGAGGGGGAACATTCCTCTGTTCTCCAGAGTGGGTGTCTCCAGTGTAAAGGGACTGTGGTGATTTTACAGACATTATTGGTAAAGGCTTGCCCTGCCTCCATCGACATACATCCAGCACCCGTGTCTCTCAGGCAGGGCAGGTTGTGCTGGTCATTATGTGCCCAAACGCAGGCAGGCCACTCCGTCGCCCTCCTGGCTCAGTTCTCTGTCCGTGTCGGCACCTTCCCGCCCTGGGGAGACTGGCGCTCTTTGAGGGCTGGGGCTCCGCACCGACATGGCAGCCAGGTTCAAGGTCCGAGATGGGTGAGGCGAAGGGGGACGGTACCTGCCGCTGCTGCTGCTGCTGCGGGGGTCTGGGGAAAGAGATGGGGAGGAGGAGTCTCGGTGCCTCTCCGCAGCAGACTGAGACTCATTCTCTATGGGGCTCTCAAGGTCAGAATCTGCCTCCTCCTCTTCTTCCTCCTCTTCCTCCAGAGTTAATTCAAACTGGAACTTGTCCCCTCCTCCTCCTCCAGAAGGAATGGGTGCACCTGCTCCCAAAGCTGCTGGTCCCACCTCAGCCTGGTGCTCTTCTGGGGTGGAAGGCGAGGGGCTGCGGGGGATCATGCTCTGGTACCACTCCCTGTTGTCCTCCAGCGTGTCCAGGATGTCCTGAGCGTCGGGGTGCACTAAGTCGGCCCAGGTCTCCCACAGCGGGTGCACAATGAAGTCAATGAAGCTCACCTGGTTATGATAGTAATGTTAACAATATTACAACAGCAAACGTGACAGGAGTACGATACATAAAGGACAAACAGGATCACGTTTGCAGAGTAAATACTGGAGAGGTGGTTTCAGGACACGTAGGAAGAATAACAAACTGTGCAAAAGTCTTGAGCCACTCCTCATTTTTTAAATATTTTTCCCAGAAAAATGGGAAATATGTGCAGCAATTTATAGAAATATTTTTAAATATACATAGAAATGAAGTATATGAGGCAGAAACAGCTGAACAATCAGTGAGGATTGCTTGCTGTTTCAGTAATGTTGGAGGCTAATCCATGACTGATAGTGTTAGATTATGTGTTTTTTTTATCCAGGTGTGCTTTTACTGCATTGGCAGTGTGTTTGGGATCTTTGTCATGCTCAAAAAGAAAACCGGTGCCATTTAGACACTTTCCAGATGGTGCTGCATGATGGATCAAAATCTAACTTTACTTTTCTGTGGTCATAATTCCATCAATGCTGACAAGAGCCTCCATTGTGTTTTACAGATATTCACTGTGGCACTTTCTCTCATTTTCAGTCCTGTTCTTATGTAGTTTGGCATACCTCAGCTGTTCTCTGTGTCTCCCTTCCTTAAGAATGGCTTCTTGACAGCCACTCTTCCACTGCATCAGCTCTAGAGCCAGATGCATTGCACAGCACATCCATTTGAAAAGGTCAGGTTCAGGGCCTGAACTGAAAGTGAGTGAAAAAGCATCCAAATGTCTAAAGAAAAACTTTGAAAGACTTTCAGAAATCCTGGAGAACTTTTGCTCAAGAGCACTTTAGGCGGATGCTGTCCAAGATAAAGACAATGTTGGATAACACCTCCCACCCACTCCATGACATGCTGGTCAGTCACAGGAGCACGTTCAGTGAGAGACTGAGATTACCGAAAAGCACCACTGAACGACACAGGAAATCATTCCTGCCTGTGGCCATCTCCCTGTACAACGCATCCACTTAACACACTGTTTGCTGCTACAGCTACACATGTTTCTTTTCCAACTATTTATTTATGAGTGACTTATGTATGTATGTATGTATATATATGTATATATTGTACTATTCTTAGTTAGTGTATTGTCTGTCTTGTCTTAATGTTGGTTTAAAATGGAGCACTGTAACAAAAAATAATTTCCCCCAGGGATCAATAAAGTATTCTGATTCTGATGATTCTGATTTAAAAGTATTATAATAAAGTTTGCCTCCTTGGAAACATAACACAAGGAAATGAGGGGTGGCTAAAGATATGCACAGCACTGTACTTTTAGATTCAACCTATGAAGGCGTATATATTAGCTCATTGCTTATTGTATTGCAATTATGTATGGAAGCATTATGTAGACAGGTTATTATGAGACTAAAACATCTGTTAACTTTGCCATCTGTCAGCACCTGACTCTTTTCTATGGAGGCGTTGTGTTTGTCACACATGGGGCTGATCTCCATGCCTCTATCCCGCTCCCTGTCTCCCTGGGTGAAACGCTCCTTCATGATGCGGTCCGTCCACTGGCGGTAAAGCTCCAGCGGTTTGGTTGGATTGCTCAAATCTGCACAATGGACCATGTTCTGCAGAACCTGGAAGAGAAAAACGCAGTCAGATGTGGCGTGTCATGCTGGGCAATGTTAGAGATGCAATGCAATCTCAACTGTAAAAATAATCCAGAAAAAAATTCAGTTTGAAAAACATTTTGAGCTTTGGCAACAGTCACTCATAAAGCTAAGAAAGTTAGTTAATGTTACTGTCATTTGTTTGTTTGGGGGGTGTTAAATCTGTCCATTCAGAGCAGCAGTCACTGCTGACAGTAAAAACTACTGTTTATTCAAACAAACTGCATTTTGTAAGTGCTGTCAAGGAGGTGGGGTATTTATTACCTCTTTTTTTTTTTTTTTTTAAGAAATTACACAATTTATTACTTAGAAACAAGATGAACACAGAACAAAACAATACAGATTTTCATTGTACTGAGAGGTTAAATACCCAACTTTATTCTTTATTACTATGATCAAAACCTTTTACTTCCATCAGAATCTCAATACTCAGCAAAACTGTACAGATGTTATGACTTATCTGTCCAGTAGGTGGCAGCACCTTCACACAGACTGCCTGGTTTAAGTGCACGCTGTACAGCTGTGCACAGGTCAAAATGGAAACACGCTGACACCAGTGTCTTCGAGCCACTGCATAGTTTTCATCTGTCACATTGAGCAATTTTAGTACCAAAATCCTTTTTATTAAAGACCTAATGGTGAAATGTACAGAAACAACTCTCTTCTGCTCATTGCACTGAATGGACAAATGGTTTGCACATGTATATAATTGAAAAAATATAACGTATAATAATTATTTTTAAACATATACTATTAAAGTGTTATGCCAGCAGGAGTTGCTCTAACCTGGATACGGTCAGAGTAGTTGTCTAGCAGAAGGACTCCCAAACTTGTGACTTTCTTGGTCTCCACCATTGTCTTCATGTCTGCCAAAAAGTTCATGTGTTTGGACATATCTGTGGCCAGCACCTACAGAGGACAGCAACCACACAAACACACACAATGCATTACAATTGTAAAGGTCTCATGCTCAACCTAAAGATGACTTCCTTGTGATTACAAGGAAAAGGAAGGATAGATGCAGGAAGTGAAGTGTTGTCTTACAGTGCCTGGGTTACAAAATGTAATGCTGACAAAGCAAATGCACACAGGCTGTTTTATCATCTATCAGATTCACTGCAGCAGTCCTGAGCAACACCTGATCTCTCTCTCTCTGTGTGTGTGTGTGTGTGTGTGTCTGTGTGTACCATGTTTACATATCTTTGTGGGGACCAGAAATTTGAATGTTACTATGTTTGTGGGGGTTAGGGTGAGCGGCTACGGATTGCATTACGGTATGTCAATGTGATGTGCGACAGCAAAAATTATGTTTCTGAGTTCAGCTCACAACCTTCTGGTTTTCTTTGTTCCGTCCAGTTGTAGATGCGAAAAAAAGGAAGCTGCAATTTTGTTCTCAGGAAAAATATATTACCAACAAGACTTTTCAGTGTGTCAGCAAGCATTCACAAGACAAACAAAAAACTGAACTGAAACGATCACATTTCAAAGGGACAGTATAACTAATGTTATAATATAAATCGCATAAAAAGGGCAGCGCTCTCACCATGTCAATCACCATCTTGCGGAGAGAGTCTCTCTGTTTCTTGCTGAGGTTCTGGAAGATGTCACAGTTTTCCTCCTGCAGCAGTTTGAAGCCCACAGCGAGATGGTGGTTTTCCAAAACTGACGCGTCATTATACATCAGCGCCAGCTCTGAACCTGGAGAAACGGAGGTAGAAATCCATAAAAACAAAAAATAGAACACCTTGAAGATAATTCTACTTTATTTAGCTTGATGTAAATCGGAGCTCACAGCAACCCACTGGGAATTAAATCATGTGCCACAGTGTGCAAATATAATAAAGAACCTGACCTGGCATCATTTCTATGTATTACTATGTATTTTAAAGACTGGAAAAGTTAAGGAAACATGTTAAAATATTTTGGCTGTAATTATTATTGATTTTAATCTGTACCGTCTTTTTTTTTTGTTTTTAGCTAATTTTCAACTTTAATGTATTTACATAGTCAATTCAGACTTTTGTTTTTACATTTCTGAGCTGCATCTAAACTATTATTAATGATAACGACTGAACAAAGCTGCTAAAATAAATGTGCAGATTACAGAGATCCATATAGATTAAAATAGACATATTAAAATAAAGGAAATAACCCTTTAATGCAGTGGACAGCTAGTCAAAGGCTGTGTTCTTGTATTTGTGTCAGTGTTGATGGTACACTTGCACATAAACCACTACAGTAGACACTGATGTGTCACTCCATACCAAATTCATAAGTCAAAACGTATGACTTATGAAGGGCCAGAGTCGTCTCTATTTTTTGAGGCGACTGAGGTCCTTCAACATCTGCCAGAAAATGCTCAGGATTTTCTATGAGTCTGTTGTGGCCAGTGCGATCCTCTATGCTGTTGCATGCTGGGGGAGCAGGCTGAGGATCGCAGATGCCAAAAGACTTAATAAACTAATCCGTAAGCCCAGCAATGTTGTGGGGATGGAGCTGGACTCCCTCAAGGTGGTGTCGGAGAGGCGGATGCTGTCCAAGATAAAGACAATGTTGGATAACACCTCCCACCCACTCCATGACATGCTGGTCAGTCACAGGAGCACGTTCAGTGAGAGACTGAGATTACCGAAAAGCACCACTGAACAACACAGGAAATCTTTCCTGCCTGTGGCCATCTCCCTGTACAACGCATCCACTTAACACACTGGTTACTGCTACAACTACATGTTTCTTTTCCAGCTATTTATTTATGAGTGACTTATGTATGTATATATATGTATATATTGTACTATTCTTAGTTAGCGTATTGTCTGTCTTGTCTTAATGTTGGTTTATGTTGGTTTATAATGGAGCACTGTAACAAAAAATAATTTCCCCCAGGGATCAATAAAGTATTCTGATTCTGATTCTGATGTTGTCCACCTAAGTGGACATGTAAAAAAACTCTTTGAACAGTACATGTTTTAAAAAAAATGAAGTTCAAAAATCTTTTTTTTTTCATGTCTAAAGATGAATAAAAATACTGATTGAGGTTGTCATAATTCATGCATCAAAGGGTTAAAGGAACAAAAATAACAGAAATCAATAAAAATCAATAGAAAACCTGTGGCGTGTATTTGTATGAGAAAGTGGAATAGTGACACAGAGGTATGCATATTGTTTCGGGTCTGTGAGTTAACTCAGATCAGTCTGCCTCCACCATTTGATAAATATATCATCCTGAGGTCTCGGGGAATATGGCATTCCGATCTGATATATGTACTACTGTATCTTCTTGACCCTATTTTCTCACTATACTTAGAAAATAGTGTTCATATCTGGTATTTGATACAAAATGCCACCTTTTGATCCTTAGTGACATTTTGGTGGAATACCTCTTTGAAAGGCGGCTTTAATCCTAAGCTTTTAGCTACAGTTTCTTAACAGTCAACTTTTAAACTGTCCTTATTTACCCCAAGCTGTGTGCTGTTTAAATAGAAAGACAGAAGCCTACTGGTGTTTATGAGGAACTGGTTGGTGACTCCTGGGTGGTCAACATCGTGGATAGCACTGGCAAACAGAGCGGCAATGATCTCCAGGTCTGTGAAAACCACCTGAGGTGAACGAGGAAGAGAAAATTAATTTATTCAGACAAAAAAGTAGGTGGAGCTTTGCTCAGTCCACTGAAAGATCAGAGCCCTGGAGCTGGTAGGGTTAGATAATGCCTTATTTGCTCACCTCTAAAGCTGGGGTGGAGAGGAGGACGTGGGTGGACTGCACCACATCAGCTGCGTGGATGCTGTTGTGATAAGCTATGTCTGCATGGTAGTGGTCCTCTAAGGTCATCATGAAGGTGATGAAGGTGTCAACTGGGATATCGAAGGTTTTCAGAAGGTCTCGCTCCTGTCACATTGATGAGGAGCATTCAAGATAAACATGAGACACAAATTGGGTCGATTCTGGTCTTTGGTGGAGCGAACAGATTTCTACCTGGAAAATGGTGTACATGGTCACTGTCAGAGGACGGTTTCCAGAATATTCTGCTACTTTGAATATATCCATACCCCAACGATCGATATCCTCAAATTGCTGCAGAAATAAAAGAGAGCATGTAATGACACAGCGCATTTGTAGGTGTGTTTGTGTCTTTCTGTCTTTGCAGCGTATGTGCGAACCCACCTTGGCTAGCAGGTTCTCGTGTGGTGTGTTGACTCCAAAGCGAGGGATGGAGGCAGGCGCCAAACCCGGGCTTTGTGTGACCTTTTTCACACCGCTGATCTGTGACATCGGCCTCTTTTTCTTCTCCTTCTCCTTCGGAGGAGGAGAAAGGATTTCCACGTCATGTTGTTTCTCTGCAACATGAACAGACACGTAATGTTATGGCCAGATGTGATCCATTAGATCTGTAGGTGTTAGAAAAACCGTGACAGAGTGCTCACTGCATCCACTTGTGTCTTCAACCAATTTAAAATACACAGCCACTTGATTATTCAGTTCTACCTGCCTTACATTTAGAGGGAGATAATCACGCTGGTTTTCTTATCTTTGCAAAGCCTTTTACTCTGACAAACGCAAAAAAATCACAAGTTCTCTCAGATCTGTTAAACTGACTCACCAAACTGTCCACAATGTAGCCATTTCTATGAAGCAGCCCTGTTTCCACATCATGCGGGTCTGACTGTCATTTAGACACACTGCTGTTAGCAGCTGTTCATGAACCTAAAAACAGGACGACAACCTCCTCACTGCAATCACTCACAGAGAGATTGGCAAAGTTCTTAAAAAAGGTATGATTTAAACATGCAGACAGACGCAGCCGACACGGTGCAATCAGTCTGAGTAAGCATGCACCGATGAGCGTACCTCATTTGTGATGCGCTTCTTTGGAATTGGGAACTCAATTGATCGCAAAGTGGTTGTACTCCTAGTAAAAGCTTGACTGCTGAATGCTAGTGTTACTGCGCAGCTACTACATCACTATTGGTGGACAGATTTGCAACTGACTTGCAATTTTTTTGCCAGTTTGTCATAGTTAATCACCATATTGCCACAAACATTTTACATATTGGATGTAATTTCTAATTTGACCCATTTTAAGCAAACCCATAGGAGGCTGACTCCATCTTATTGCCATTCGATCACAATGCTCCGCCTTAACAGCCCAAAGTTACTTTCAAGACAGGAACTGACTCTAAGTGGCTGCAGACCTGGTCCCTGTTTTTTCAACAACCATTTCAGAGACGATGACATTCCAAGTTTATTGCACAAAATCACAATGATTTTGCTTTTGCTGTGGCCTCCTATCACTGTAGAACTATTGTAGATCTGCCCTAGACAGTGGGAAGTATATGATGATGTGTCTGCATACTTTTAGCTACTGCTACAATTACTACTAATACTGTCAATATTTTAGTAATCATTGCACTACTAGAAACACTTAACTCTGTAAGTATTAGATGATAGTATGACAGCAACAGCTTACGCAAATTCTCAATACTGCAGCTGGAACTTGTGATTCTTCAATTGTTGCTGCAGTCACATCCACCAGGTGTACTTTATAGACTTACTAGGACTTTAGTTGACACATTGTGAACAGTAGCTGTTACTACAACTGCTATTAACATAGATAATACAAGTCCACCTCAACAACCAACAGTTTATGGAAAACCTGAGAAAAAAAAGAAAAGCCTGGACATCCATGAAAGACTACAGAGGATTTCCAAAGGATCCTGTCCATGGTAAAGAAGATCTTTTTCACAGCGTGCAGCAGGATGCAAAACACTCCACTCCCAGGGCTACTGTATAGACAAGTTATCAAGAGAAAATACTGAGGGTTCATCAGTGTAAAAGCAATGTAGAAGTAAAGTATGTTACAAACTAAGCTAAACTAAGCTAAGACTACTGAATAAACAGAAAGCCTGCAGTAAATAATCATAAAGGCAGAAATCCACATTTTGGTGATATCCATGAATTTAAGCAATTGATTTATATTTGTGATATTGTTTTCCACTTACAAAGACTGTATAAAAATAGTGGCAAATCCTAAATGGTTAAAGTATGCATGTCAGTTGCATCATTTTCTTCATTTCAAACCCACTGTAGTGGTGCACAGAGCTAAAATTCAGGAAACCGTCACTGTGCAACCTGACATTTTCCTAAACACATGAATTCCTGCACAAAGGAACTTAAACATACGGAAAACATGTGTAAACCCATCTTCATCAGCAGTATAATGACACATTATCATTATAATGACAATGAGACTCAGTTCACACCACCTGATCAGAAACCCGAAATCTATTTGTTCGTAGCTGAGATAATAAAACAAGGCTAAAAGGAGCAACAACATTGCTGGTTTTGCAGTGCTTGCTGAGAGATCTGGCCAACTAAACACAATTAATGTAAGTATTGCACAAAAACACCATGAAAACAGATTTTACGGCAGCAGGTGAAGAACACTAGCAGCAAAAACGTAACGATGATGGTTAAAAACCATCTGTTTCCCAGCAGTTTGATGACAAAGCACACTTGATTAAGATCAAAGGCAGGAGATTTTGTTTTTCAACCCAAATTAGAGAGCGTAGTCCTTGAGGCAAAAACACAAAAACACCAAAAGGTTTCCTTTGACGGTATCAGCATCATCTCAACATGATTTGTTGACTCAGAGGTACTGCCCCAGCAGACATGGCTGTGTTGAAGACGACTCATCCATTTTTGGGGGGGTACAAACCAAGGGAATAATGATACCATTGTGACATCACGGACAGCCAGCTTTACCTCACGTCCACACATCCTCTTCGGTATTTTCCATTCATTGTGTTTCATTAGCACAGAGGCACGAAATCCAGATACGAGCACACGGCACCTAAGGATGCACAGCGATCTGAGTGGCAGCGTCACACGAGGCGCTGTCTGGCCTTTCTCACCTCTCTCACAGTGCCTTCTCTTCCTCACACCCAAAACCATGGTGCTCATTTCCAAACGCAGCCAGACTTGAAGAAGAGGCACTCATATCAAAACGGCGTCCGACTGACAGCGCCATCCTCGTTCAGCCGGACCATCCTGCCGGAAGGGCTGTTGAACACTGAGCCTCCTATTCATACGGCACGCCGTTGAATAATGTGCACCCTGTTGCCGTGACAACGCCACACAATGTGTCCGGGAATGCTGTCTGCAGCCCCGCCTCCTTCTTTTTCAGAAAAAGGAAAAATCCTCACCTTCTCCATCTGTCCTGTTAACACAGTCCTCACCTTCTTTCAGAAACACGCTCTTTTCATTTCCACGTACAAGAAACCCCCCCCCCCCCCCCCACATCCTTTCTCCCTCACAATGACTCCCTTCTTCTATATAGTAAAATTCCCTTTCCCTGTTCCTTTGGAAAGTCATCCTCTCCTTCCCTTCCCTTCTTTCTGTCTTCTTTTTTTGTCCCTATTCATCCTCAAACCACATTTTTATCCACTCCAACAAAATACAAGAAGACCTCCTAACATTCAAATATGTTGAAGAGCAAAAAAGAAAAACAGGAGATGCAAAGAAGCAAATTAGTTTACTGGCGGTGTTTCCCCTCAGCCTCGTAGTAGATACACCTGTGGTATCAATTTGAAAATCCTTCTTCAGTCGTTGCATTCACAAGATTTCAAAGTTCTAACTTACCGAGGAAGGTGTTGGCGATGTACTCTGACACCTGATTCCCTGAGCGACTTGTTTCCGATAGCTGTGTCAGCTCGCGGTTCAGCATCCTCTTAAACTGTGTAGACATGACAAAACCATAAACAACACATGGTTAGTTTGCAAACACACACCAAGCATATGGGTGTGCATGTGTGTAGCAAGGCATTTTATTTCAAAATCCTTTCTGTAACTATAAACACTAATACAACATGCCTCCTTCCCTTCATTTGACTCTTAGAACAACAGAGGAAACATGTAGCAAACTACGTTACCAAAATATGGGTGCAAACAAGCAGAAGGACCAAACAAAACAAACACTGAAGCACTTTCCAACGTTTGAATGAAATTTGTTTCATGTTCTGAACACGGAGACAAAACGGTAAACAAAAAGGTTTCCAAGGACAAACAAAAACAAAAACAAACAAACCCACAGTGCATGAAAGGTCAACGGAAAAAAATGACTAATATGTTACTACAGACAACCTAATGGATGCATGTCACATTTTAGCTTTTAAATTGCACATTACTAATTTGCTTAGATTTTAGTAACTGCAAAAACGTGGGAGAAATGTGAAGAGGCAGGTGAAAGATCGCATAACTAAAAAACAAATCATTATTTGTGTAACAAAATAGAGGGAAGAAGACGAGGTGCTGTGATGAAGGTGGTAACCTCCATGCATCCACGCTTTACACAATACACTTGAGCTACCTTGAGTTACCTGATACACATGGCTCATATACATAACCCTAAATGAGGAAACACAATCTGTGATCTCATACACCACGCTCATTTAATTTGCATTTACTGAAATTGTTTTATATGTAGTGTATGCATATCATTATTTTTTATAGGTTTGACTCATTTTTAGAAGTCTGTTTGGCTGCTGAGGCCTCTGGGCTGTTCCTCCAGCATGCGGTGCTATTAAATACAGGAGGTGCTGATCGGAACAAACCAAGTATCGTGACGCCATAGGGCAGATAGCTAGAGTCATTTATCTTTGTTCTTTATATATCTTAGTTTTGTGAGTTAGATATTGAGTAATTTGGGGTTTGATTGTTGTTACAATAGATTCAATTAACTACTAAGCAAACTGTAGATTTTTTTCTTTGTTATTAGATAATTTACAAGTGTTTGTTCCTCACCCTGCTCAGAGCATCTACATTGGTCTGATTGAATCTCTTTGTATCTACTTTATTATACTGGGTTTGGTTCTGTTTATTTAACCTCTTTTAAGTGCCAAGAACTAAACTTGGCACATGAATGAAGGAAATCTGGGTTTGGTCGATTACTTCTTTGTTGCAACAATGCTTCTGCGAATAAATCTTATACTGTTGGAGAGCCTGTTTCCTCTGAAATGGTGCCACATTTGTAAAGAAAATGCATTCGTGGGTCGAGCAGAATAGTTCAGTATGTGAGTTGTGCCCATGAAAAATGTGGCAAATCTTCTCTGACAATATTAAAACTCTTCTTGACTCTTGTTTTGAGCTTCCAGTAGCCTAGATGCTAACAATTGGGTGCCTGATTAGCAGCAGTTGTGAGCAAGGTCCCTGCTACAGCAGTCAGGTGGTGTCTGTCTGCTCTAAAAGTGCCACATTTGACTGACCTGGAAAGGGCCCGTGCCATAAGGCAACTTCAAGCTGGTGTCTGGGATGTCAGAGACAGGCCATGAAGTGGGTGTCCCAAGAAGATTACACTACACCATTACGCTGGCATTGGCAACATGGAACACTTGGAGGTACATTATGTTCAGTGAAGAGTCCAGATTCTGCCTACAACTATTGGATTGTAGGATCAAAGCTTTAAGAGGACATGGACAACACTGTGCTGACTGGTGGACCTTCTGGTGGAGGTAGTGTGATGGGGCGGGGCGGCATCTCCCTCACTGAAAAATAAGGCTTGTTATCTCAATGCAGAGAGATGCAGGTTGTGCGACCAACACAACCACATTTGCGAGAAATGCTGGTTGAAGAATGGGATGCCATCCAACAGCAGTGTGTGACCAAGATGATGACCAGCATGAGGAGGAAGTGCCAGGCTGTTGTGGCAGTGTTCTTCCACATGGTAAATGGTAAATGGCCTGTATTTATATAGCGCTTTACTAGTCCCTAAGGACCCCAAAGCGCTTTACATATCCAGTCATCCACCCATTCACACACTGGTGATGGCAAGCTACACTGTGGCCACAGCCGCCCTGGGGCGCACTGACAGAGGCGAGGCTGCCGGACACTGGCGCCACCGGGCCCTCTGACCACCACCAGTAGGCAACGGGTGAAGTGTCTCGCCCAAGGACACAACGACCGGGGCTGTCCAAGTCGGGGCTCGAACCGGCAACCTTCCGATTACAAGACGAACTCCCAACTCTTGAGCCACGATTGCACATGCTACTGAGGCCTCCATTTGTTAAACTGTCAGTATGCATCGTTTCTTCAGACTTCCATAATTCAGTCCAGTAAGCTGTTTGCATTGGTAGACAAAAGTTAGCAAGTTCTTAATGGGCACGACCCACATCTGTATTTTCCTTATTCATTTTCACTGTTAAAGCCCCAAAAACTTCACAGCCAAATCAAATGTTTCATTGTTTTTCCTTCGATTAAGAGTGAAACAAAATGTGGGGAAACCCCAGCAGTGCAGCACTCATAGGATTATGCTCCCAGCCTACAGTCCATGAATACCCTTTGATATACCTCCGTATATGCATATATATATATATACATATATATATATACAAAAATCAAAACAAGCTACAATATCTCTATAATATCTCTAAGCACAAAAAACAAAAACACGTGCACTGTTTGTAGGAAAACAAAAACACAAGTGAAATTTTCATGAAGTTTTAATAAATTAAAAGAGTTCAGTGTTTCGCCGTTGAATTTAATGGCAGTAATGGGCGGTAGTTTCCACACTGATTATGTAACAGTCTCGGCAGGTGGAGGCTGAGGGAGGAAGGAGGGGATCTGGGTGAGAGTGTGATGCTGCAGTGGCTGCACGGCTATTTTGTGGCACACATACAGGCCAACGCAAACACATGCATCAGCCTACATAACTGTTTATCATCTGTTTGATTTCTCCTGGAGCTTCTCATCACGGCTTCCCCCTTTGTGCTTCAGTACTTCCTGCACGCGTGCGGACACACACACACACACACTTGTTTACATGCGAGCCATTTCTACACCTATGAATCATTCCTCTTAAGATTTCGTGTTTTGTTTTTTGACAATCATGACAACTGTTTCCTCTAACACGCATGGCTATTTTGGCCCTTTTTGTTGTCATTTCTGTGCTACACACACACACACACACACACAAACACACACACACACACACACACTCACGTTCAGCCCCTTTGTGGATCTTGTCCTGAGTCAGATCCGACAGGTGGGCTCACTCAGCGTTCATCCCACTGCAAAGCCTGCACTGCTGATCACTAGATCCCATTGTCAACAAGGAAAGCCAGCAGGGCTCCCCATCGCTCACCTGTCTGAGTCTCCAGTACAGATAAACCCAGAGAGCCGACGCAGGCATGTCAGCTCACGCATGTTGATGTTAGTAGAGGCTAAAATCCAAGTTTGCTTGCTTAGTAATAGGCTGCAATTTCCCCACTCAGTTCTGCTCCATGCTCAGCAGAGATGGTCTGGACATGAAAAAAAAGTCCATTTAAAAAATTAAAGTTCCCACAGTTCCTAGCTGCAATCCTGAAGATGAAGGGGGGGGTATAGCTGAGGTAGAGGAGGCAGGAGAAGAGCTCTGCCATCAGGGTGTGACTGCAGCCTCTCATTCAACTACTGTCACACGCTGTCAATGATAAACATAAAGAGGGAGAGCAGGAGCTAGAGTGAGGGAGAGTCTGTGAGAATCCCCTGCCCCCCCTGCCCCGCATGCTGGTCCCCCTTCTTCGACCAATCACGTTAGTCTAGCTTAAGGGGCTGAGTGGAGGAAAGAGATATGATTGGCTGAGTGAGGGAAGGAGGAGGTTTGCAGCCAGACAGCAGGAAGAGCCAGCAAGGACGTGCGCTGAGTGGAGAGAGGCACCATTCATGAACAGTAGTGTTATTTACGCACGCCTCAAATCTAATTTTCTTCCTGTACAAAGGTAATTTGTGAACAGTGAAAGCAAGTTTGCACTACAATGAAAAAGCTGAAAATCTCGTGTGTAGTTGATGCATGAGAGTAGATTGCAAAGCTCCTAGGACACACTGACTTTTCCCCCTCCATCTACCTTATTACAGCCCAGTCACAGCCAGTCTGTGTAATCTCTCTACAAACTAAAGTACAATGAAAAAGTTAAAAGATTTTAGTCAATGTAGTATTTCAGAAAAAAACGAGTAATATTTAGTTTTTTATTGATTTTTATATTTTTGTGTGACCCAATTTGCACCAAATCATCTCAGCTGGAGCTGTTATCGGTATCTACCATCACACAAAATTTAAAAATGATATCTTGAAAACTGGATGCTAGACTGCCAACAGACAGTCAAACAGCACAGATTGGATACTCAGTTGAATAAATACATAAATACATAAACAAATGGGCATAGATCAGAGGCTTTTGTTTTCCACCTGCACTTCTTCACAGCATTAATGATCGGTATGGACACAGCTGAGTTGAATCACCTCACCTTGTTGGATGCCATCTCGCTGACCGAGTGTCTCGTCTGCAGGGTCTCCAGCTGGTCCAGACACCAGTCCAGCTCCTCCAGGGTCTCCATCGCCAGCTTCTGGTAAGGCTCCTCTGAAAGGTCAGCGGTCAAACAAAGACACGTTGCAGTTTACACCCGGGACTGCTGTGGAAACATCCACATCTTTAACATGTTGCATGGGTCTGCTGTTGATCTTGGTAAGAGAAAACTTGATCCTGTCATGCTGCACCTGTCCTGACTGTCAATGTCTTCACCATTCATTTACCAGCACTGTTATATTCGCATCCATTTAACTGTAAGAAGCGCATCTTTCAGATTTACCTGAATCAACAATCACTTAATTCTTTTTCTATGTATTTAAAAAGACAACAACATTTTCATTTTCTATGAGAAAGGCACCATTAGTCACAGAGGAACTAGAACCTCTCAGTGTCCCATCACCCAGGGGTATTAACACTGACCTGTGAGACATGGATTACACATGGGCGGCTGGTTGCTGCTTGACGGCCGCCTGAAACACAAAACAGATGATGTGTCGGTAGAATAACAAAAGAGCAAATTAGTCATCCGCTCCACATCATGTTTGTGCTCTTACTTGTTTCCCACACGATCTTGCAGATGTGTCAGAACAGCAAAGTTACTTCTCACCGTTCGTAGACTGGCAAGAACCTAAAAAAATGAATAAACAAAATACGTGAACCAATTTTCGTTCAAAATAAAGAACCATTCTTTTAGATGGTTGAACCTTTTTTACCTGTTACTGTGAATATAGTGACTTTTTTGTTTTGGAACTTTTAACCCTTTTTAAAGACCCTATCAGGAACTTTTAGCATCTAAATAAAAATGCAAAATGGACTTTGAGTAAGAAGAGAAAAGCTAAGTGGTTTAAAAACATCACACTTTACAGGCACAGCATGCAAGGGTTTCATGCCGCTGATAGTACTATCTGAGCTCAGCTAACTTCCAAAAGCCTGATGTAAGAGAGGAAGCATGCTGAAGCACTGCTCTCTCTCATATCTAACGTTTACTGATGATAAACTTTTATAGGGTAAATATTGGACTTTAGTTTGGAATTATCACATGTACACAGATCATGTTAGTAGGTCACTGATGATCACACACACACACACACACACACACACACACACACACACACACACACACACACACACACACACACACACATAAGAACAAGCTGTTCAGCACAAAGAGAATGTGTGTGGGTGTTGTCTGTGAAAAATGAACCATGTCTTATTTCTCAAACTGATGAGTAAGCAAGGAGCAAGGAGCCACGCAGAGCATCTGGACAGCGCAACGCCCCAAATTAGATGAATTTACTTTGAATGGAAACAATTATATTTCACATCTCACTTCACGGGACAGACGGTGTGTCATAAATAACAAACACTTTGGTAAACAAATATTTTTTAAATACATCATCAGTGGCTCTATAGTAGCTTTAATGAAATTCACTGTGAAAACAGGGCTTTCAGGAGTTCAGAGAATAGTGTAGTGCTTAGCTGTTTACACCATGCTTTCACTGTGGGCTGTTTCTTTATGAACTGCTTACATGTAACTTGCTGCTTGCTGGCTTAATGCATTGATCAGCAGATCTTCACACAGTTCAAACAACTGTTTCAAGTAATAAGTGTATAAACATTCATTTTGATGCCATGTCTGTTAAACTGTAAAGCCTGTGCTGTGTTTGGCCTGTTGCCGTACAGGTTGCCGGCTTCCGCCTGTCATAATATCAGTGCTGGCACCCTCGATCCTGAGTTTGGCTTTGATTCAATGACAGCAAACAACGGAAGCTCTTAAAGGACCAGCAACAAGCATATGCAACTAACCTGTGCAAATGGAGTCACTATCATGTCTTCTCCATGCCTGCAAATTAAAAAAAGGCTAAGTGAGAGGGGAAAGAGCAGTTCATGATGTATTGTGTGATTCCACACCACAAACACACAAATCATGACAACAGTCAGGTTGCTGTTACTGGGATATTTGACTGAGCAGTTGGATGAGACCGTGACTGGTCTGAATATCACGCTGGACAAAGAAAGGAGAACAACACGTTGTATTAGGTACACAAAATCCTGCTTAGAGGCAAAGGTGCTAAACCTCATAGATATATTGTCTTTGTGACTACGTGGTAATTAAGAGTTGGCAATAAGGAATAGAGGAGCAGGATGAATGTTAGAAAGGCTAGCACTAGTTGCTAGGCAAAAAAACCCTATTCGTATTGTATCTAAGGACTAAAGTTAATTAGTTAAACTTGCATTTAGTGATGTTTTAGTATTCACTTTGATTGACTTCTAAAATTAAATTTAAACAACAAGATTGCGTCTCACAAATAAACCCAGCTACGAGTAAGCTGTATCTCAAGGGAAATGTTAAAAAAGACCAATCCCACTAAAGGTTAGAAATGATGGGATATTAAGTTTATCTATGAGGGACAAAAAATGCCTCTAAGACTTATTTGTATAACTAGAACAACATGCAGGTGAGGAACAGAGCTCATGCTTTGGATGCTTGGGAAACCAGTTTTAGATCAGCTAAAGCTTTCTGGAAGCTTTAGGGTGACAACATGCACACAGACCTCCAGACCTCAGGGTGAAATCATGCTAACTATGAAAAACACTAAGTTGGCCTTCACTGTCCAGCAAACATTTTGATGCATGACTGTGAGCGCCACCTTGTTTAGTAAAATATCAAAATCCTTTGTAGTCGTCAGGTTTGTGACTGAAACACGGGTGGCAGCACATCAGCATCTGTCAAATGGTTGCTGGGACTGTTTCTCAAACTTTTGAGCTTGAGATGCTTTTGGAGCTGAGCATCCAAGGTAAAGTTGTTCGGATCGTGTTTGGGAAAAGCGTGGGAGATGTGACTCATGAGAGTGTGGCACAGGCCAAAGAGATAGACAGAAAAATCACAGCAATCTTCACACTTTGTCTCACCGAGGTAGCCAATTGACTTCCCAATGCTTCAATCCCTCCTCCCTTCAAAACAAAGGAGCGACAGCTATTGGTGGTCGAGGCCCCATTAACACTCTGGCTTCAAACAGACTGCTAGCTGCACAAGAGAAATCTTCAGCTGTATAAACAGACAGAAACTAGTTGCTGAACTAGCGTAGCGTTACCAGCATGTTTCCTGCTAGCTGGCGACTTCACTGCATTTACACCTACAACTGGTTGCTCTCGTGTTTACATTTTTAAACTCTAGCTGTGCTGCCTGAAGTGTCTTTAAAGCCTGCTGCCAAATGCATGTAGTTCTTCGAGTGTAAATAGGACCTTAGGTGAGCTTACTAGAAATAGTTTTAAATGTATTTATTATAATTTATTGTATTTATGACACTGACACATTCAATGTGATCTCGTGAAATGCAAATCATTTCAAACCTTGACTTAAATGAAAATTTTATTTTATTGTGCTAAAAAATGCTGAACGAAATACACAACTAGCCACTTTATTAGGTACACCTTCATGGTACAGGGTTGGACCCTTGTTTGCCTTCAGGTCTCTTTAATTCTTCATGCATTGATTCCACAGTGTGCTTGAATCATTCCTCCGAGACTTTGATCCATTTTTGACATGATAGTGTCACATCAGAAGCGCTATATTTGTAAGCTGTAGATCCATGATGTGGATCTCCTGTTCCAGAGACACAATTCTCCCTTTCAAACCTTTTTTTTCTCCCCCAAATTTCTATTTTGTTAAGCTTGTCCAAACTTTCGCTGTTTGTAGGGTCCACTGTGCTCTTCTGCTCTTGTAGAGCATCTATTTGATGTGCGTACAGAGATGCTCTTCTGCAAACTGGGACGCTCTCCCCGAGACATGGCATCAACGAGAATAGCAGCTCCCTGGATTTTGCTGTTTTCAGATCGTTCTCTGTAAACCTTAGAGATGTTTGTGCAGGAAAATCGCAGCAGATCAGCAGTTTTCAAATACTCAGACCAGCCTCACATGATGTCAAGAGTCACATAAGTCACCATTCTTCCTGTGATGCTCAGTTTGAACTTCAATAGCTTGTCTTGACCATGTCTGCATGCTTCCATGTGATTGGCTGACTAGATAACTGGTGTACCTAACAAAGTGGATAACATGGCTAACTAACAGTTTTAAAACATATTGCTGGAATCATATTTAAAACTAACTTTAAAGTTTTCATTTTCATTCAGAAAATAGTTTGTTTTACTGTGCAGTTTCTCAGAGATTAGATGATCTGTAGGTATTCGGTGCCTTCATATCTTCAGCCTCTTTCTGAAACGTTTTGATTTCTCTGGAATGATGAGATAAGTTTTTGTGCTCTTAAGCACACTATATATATATTCCTCCAAATCCAGCTCTGCAACCCCACCAACAAAAGAACAGAAAACAAAAATCTCTCGGCTTATTGTTGCTGAAACAATACAGAAAGCGTCTGAGAATACTTACAGGTCGCTGGCAGTGGACGAGTTGCGGGACATAGTTTTGGGCGAAAGGTCGAAGTCTGAGTCAGAGCGATAGAGGAAGGACTCGCGGCGCTGACTGTGGGGAAAGTTGGCCTGAAGTACCAGACCAGAACCCGGGCTAGTCTGAGAGTCCAGTGGACTGCGACCCACCGACAGGCCATTCTCCACATCAAAACTACAGAGAAAAGGAAGAGAAGAGAGAAAAAATTAATAAGTATTCTGTTGTTCCTACCCACAAGCTAGCATCACAGCCTGATTTTTAATGAAATAATTCTGTTGCTTTCATTTATTTTATTTACATTTTTGGCATGATTAAAATTGCATGCAGTGACTCAGAGGTCAGGTTAATACCTCTATTAGTATTAGCTGCTATTAACTGCTATAATTGTTGGCTACTTACTATAATATAATATTGAGCATAAAACCTAGCCAGAATAACAAAGAAATGCATAGTTCCTACTGTAGGAAAAAAGCACAAGAAATATATGAAAACATGAGACAGGCAACAAAGATTTCACATATAAATCTCAGACAAACACAAATATTGTGATGCACAGCACTAACAGTTTCTGCAGCAGCTGCTGATCTGCATGTAGAGACAGAAAGGATAAGACCGTGGTGAGACAGGGTACAATTGCACCTCTATGGAACAGCTAAAGTTGAAAGTACAGTGCAGAGGGCTGCAAATCCAAATCAATTTCCCAAAGTGCCCCCAAATCATCATAATGGAATCTCTGACAGCAGACACAAAGGAGCTACAATTATAAAGTGACACAAGAACGGGGTTCATGTGGACTACCTGAAAATTATAGTAATACAATGCACAGGATGCCACTTTTATTGGCAGCACAATGGGAAAAAAATGTATTCAGATAGAGTGTCTCCTCTGAGTTTAAACAGGTGACCTTGTGATTACTGCTTTCACAATCTAGCACACACTCACGCACATCTTTCCCCTTCACCATCTCTGTTTGACGTCAACACTGGCACGTTGCCTCGGTGCAACGACAGCCAATAACCCGCCCCACCGCTCGCGCTCTTGCCCGTCATAGCAGCGACATCGAAATATGCCCCCAAGTGTTCAACAAAGAGTTGCTGAAAATAACCACACAGTATTTTTTTTTCCATATTTGCAAAATTTTGATTTTTTTATTGGTATGATAAAAGTGGGATTATGTCAATTCCAGAAAAGCCTCTGTCAGCAAACAGCAGCACAGCTGCAAATGATCAGATTGAATTCTTCTCAATTGCAGGTTTCACTATGACAGTAAATTCCCTTTCCCTCCTAATGCCTTTGAACCAAACCACACTTTTTTGTAACACGCTGTCCAAGCAAGAGCCAGCACGGCGCTGCAACCATTGTGGGCAGAGAGGAAGTGGAGGAGAACTCGACTTTGAGTGTTGTCTGGGGGGGTCAAAGCTTATCAGCTCGGAAATTCATCTTCTTCTGCTGATCTCTGCACTATTTGAAGCTCACCGTGAGCCAGCATCCTCTCGGCTAAACCTCTTTCCTTCTAAGGAATTCACCTGACTGAGACCTCGGAGCTCCATTATGCGGCCGCCGCATGGGTACGATTAACAAACCGTCTTTATCAATTAGATACATTCTCATTCATGCAAACGCCCCCTTTCATAACAGCTGAAAACAGAGCACCAGTCGAGCAATGGAAGCTTGCTCCTGTGTCTATTTTTAGTGCAGCCTGCCTCCAGCGCTCCAGCAATAATATTGCGTGATAAATGAAAGATGGCCATTAAGCAATCGATGCTGAATGAAATGGGCCCAGTTCATAGAAACAGTGAGATACAGCGAGATCAGGAGGGGTTGGGGGAGGTGGGGGTGGTGATGAGGAGGGCTGTATCCAGCACAGTGATGTGCTCAGCACCTTGCATCTGATTGGTGCAATTTCCCGGAGGGTGGGTTGGTGGGGGTGATATGCAGCAGCAGGGCTTACCTCAATGATGCCACCCCACCACTACACCTCGTTCAGCCTCACTCTACACACCTCCTCCACCCCTGGCTCGGTGTAATCGGCCGTGACGAGGCTCCATCAGAGGAGACCGGTGACGTCAGAAGCTAAAAATAGACCTGGCTGA